CCATTTTCTCTCCGCCGCCTCAGCCGCGGCAAAATGGCGCCGAAGGCGTGGCCACGTGGGAGTCCGTCACAACCAGTCACAGGCAGTGTTTCTGTGCCACGTGACTGGCTCGGCCTACAATTCCCATGTGACCGCGCGGCGTTTCCTCTTCCTGTTTCCGCTTCTTCCGCTCATTCCCGGCCGCGGTGGGGAAGGTCGTGCAGGGCGCGTCGCTCTCCTCTCGCTGCCATGTTGTCCGCCAGCGTCCGCCGCTTCACCACCTCCGCCCTGCGCCGCAGCCACTATGAAGAGGGACCGGGGAAGGTACGCGGGGCGGGGGAGTCGTGGGATCGGGATGGGAAAGTGGAATGAATTCCATGTGTCTTGCGATCTCTGAGCAGCCGCAGCTGAGTATATTGTGTGATTAAGGGTTCTTGGCGGTACAGATGATGAGCTTTGCGGTCTGATGCGCGACAATGATACTGTAAACGCTTTCTGATGTACCTCGTGCTTAACGTGCTCTGCCCAAGTGCTGCGTCCAAATGGTTCGTTTCGTATACCTTTTATAGGCGTCTAAAAAGTTAATTTTACGTGGTGGCGATGCTGCTGTGAACGCTTTGTGGTGCATCTCGTGCTTCACCTGTTTTGCCAAGTTCCGCTCCTATAAAAGCTTAATTTTACATACCTAATGGGCATTGGGGGAGGGAGGAAATCTAAGCATTGATGGTGGTTAAACACCAGGACAGGTGGTCTGGGGAGGCTGTGGGGGTTAAATTTGGCTGGGAGAGACCTGCAGCACATTTTCCATGCTTTGGGTTGGAGGGAGAGGGGAAGAGTGGATGGAATGACCTCCAGAGGTCACATCCAGGGAATTGGCATGGAGTGTTAAGGGCTTGGAAGGGACCTTAAAGATCATCTAATCACAATTCTGTGCCACAGGCAGGGATGCTACCCCAGGTTGTTCCAAGTCCCATCTAACCTGGCCTGGAATGCATCCATGGATAGAGCAGCCACAGCTGCTCTGGAAATTAAATTCCAGCCTCTCACCACTCTCAGAGAGAGAAATTTCTTCCCAATATACAGCCTGAATTTCTCTTTCAATTTGTACCCATTTGTTCTTGTCTTTTCACTGCAGTTCCTGATGAAGAGTTCTGCACCAGCTTCCCTGTAGCCCCTTCAGATCCTGGAAGGTTATTCATTACCCAGAATTCTCTTATTTCTTACCTTGAGGAAGGGAAATGGTTTTGAAACTGGTTGGCTGTATCTGATGGTGCTCTGAGCTCCTCAGCATTTTTAAGGCAATGAGAAGGTAATTACTGCACTGATTACTAAACTAAACCTCTTTATCACGCCTAGAACCTTCCCTTCTCTGTGGACAACAAGTGGAGGCTACTGGTGCTGATGTGTGGCTTCTTTGGAAGTGGATTTGCTGCTCCTTTCTTCATTGTGAGGCACCAGCTCCTCAAGAAATAAAGAGTACATACTATAACAGGGTAAGTGGTTCTGTTGCTTTTCATGGCACAGTGCAATCTGAGATCAACAAGCGAGCTTTAAAGTGCTTAACTTCATGGAAAACCTTGATAATGTCCAGCCTTTTGCAGTCCAGGTGTGGTCTGGAGTTTGAATCTAAACTGAAGCCATGAAAAGGTGTTAATTTTGTGTTAGAGCTGCTGCAACTTAGTGGTTCATGAACTTTGCCTCCCCAGAGGCCACACCTCTCTGGCTGCAGCTCACTGTGAGCAAAACCACATCTGCTTCCTCCTCTGGGTGAACACAAATCTGCTCCTGGTGTGATCTTCGGGGACAAGTGGTACATGTGGTGTCACCAAGCAGGATGAGGAGCTGTGATGCTGTAAACAGTTTCTGATGTGCCTCTTGAGAGCTCAGGGTGGGGGAAACAAGATGTCTTAAACTTCAACCATATCAAATCTACACCATCTACATCATTCCTAGCTGCTTACAGACCAAACTGCACTTGAAATTAGGTCATTAACAGATTAATTGATGCTGCTGGTGATCTTAACAGACAGAAAAGCTGCTGGCACCTCTCAAACCACACAGCATGACATTTCCAGTTAAAGGACACTTCATCTTGCATTAATCTGATTCCACGGTGGAGATACCTGTGTATTGTCAGTTCTGTGCTTTGAAAAACATCATATATGTTTCAGAAATGGAATGGCCCAGGTAGTTCTTAGAAGAAAATAATAATCCTCACTGGAATCTCATAATTGGTGCAAAGTGAAGTTATCTGTGTAATTCCTTTACCATTTTTTAGAGTTTTGGTTCCCTATACTTAAGGAGATAAAATCAGCAGATTTGCGTTGAAGTTGAGCATTTAGAACTGTAATCATGTAAATCAAGGTCTCAACTACAAAACCATGTGGTGGAGGAAGCAAAGCCCATGAAAAAAAATCCTAATTGAAGTATGTTTATAGCTTTTCTATATTCAAGAGTTCTTAAACTTGTTTAATTCTTTTTCTTGCAGGGGTGAAGTCTCCTACACACCACCTTTCCATGGGGATAGCTTAGCTGCAGTTGCGTACCATGCTGGAGGTGTCTAAATAAACCATCTGAAATCTTGGGGCCTTGGGTTGTGTATCTTATGTAGCTCCTGAAGTGCTTTTGAGAGCTGCTGTGTTCTGAGAACCCCTTCAAAGTACAGTGCTGTGCCATTAAGTTAAACACTAATTGTTGTGTATAAAGGCAGAAGATTGGGGGGGAAAATAATCACATTTCACAACTGGAGTTGGGGCTAAACTTCTCTTCTGCTCTGTTTATGGAATAATTCCATAATGGAAAATGACCTGGGATAGTTTATAACCACTGTCATTATCATCTATGCTGCAGGGTTTCTGTCTTCTCAATTTGGATTTGGTTCCACACTCAGCACCCTCAGCAAGTTCTGTGACCACAAAAAGTGTGTGGGGCAATCACACCTGGAGGGAAGGGATCCAGAGGGACCTTGACAGGCTTGAAAGGTCCTCAATGCAGACCTCATGAAATTTAACAAAATTCAGTGCAAGGTCCTTCACCTGGGCCGTGGCAACCCCAGGCACAGCTACCGGTTGGGTGGGGAAGGAATTGAACCCAGCAGTGAGGAGGAAGACTTGGGAGTGACAGTGGATGAGAAGCTCACCATGAGCTGCAGTGTGAGTGAGCTCAGCCTAGAAAGGCAATGGAATCCTGGGCTGCATCCATAGGAGTGTGGGTAGCAGATCAACATCCCCTCTACTCTGCTCTTGTGAGACCCACCTGGAATACTGCACACAGTTCTGGTGCCCTGAACAAAAGAAGGACATGAAACTCTTGGAGTAAGTCTAGAGGAGGCCAAGAAGTTGCTAAGAGGACTGGAGCATCTCCCCTATGAAGACAGGCTGAGGGAGTTGGGGCTGTTCAGCCTGGAGAAGAGAAG